GATTGCATGCGCTGCAGGGATTCTCTGGCTCCTTCATGCGATCTAAGTTCTTCCAAATGTTGATTGTTCTGGTCGGCTATCTTCGCAGCTACAGCTTGGGTGTTAACCGCTTCCAGCCTGGCGTTTTTAAGCTCTTCTTGTAAGGTCTGCTTTTCTCGCTCCGCCCTGGCTGAAGCGATTCGTTCTCCTTCTACTCTAGCCGCCGCAACAGCCGCAGTGACCGCTTCGGCATCACAAGATTGAGCAGTAGCCGCCGCAACGGCCTGCCGTTCCGAAGCCAGCATCTCGCGATATCTGTTTTCGGCTTCTACCTCCGCCTGCCGCTGGGCGGCCGCGGTCTGACGGTAAATTTGTTCCATCAGTTCTCGTTCTCGCCCCCTAGCGGCCATAGCTAGGGCGAGTCTCTCAGCCTCCAATGTTCTCCGAACTTCTTCCATGGTCGCAGTCATCTCCTCTCGATCCAGACGGGCCCTTTCGGCCAACTGTGCTTCACTTGCGAGGAAGTCTCGCTGGGTGTTAGCCTCAGCTAGTCTAGCCTGGCCATGGATATCCCGTGTGAGAAGACAAGTGCAGTTGTGGTCTTCCATGGGAAGGCACTCGGTACACAACCATTGGATATTACACTTGGAGCATACTCCAGAGCAGCTCTTACAAACTGGATGCCTACATGCACCTTCTGTCCTGTAGGCTTTCCCCGGACATCTGCTTCCCGCCTGAGGCGTGCAGCCAACGTTTGGGTTCCAACATTCCTCCATTATAGAGATGGTACTGTTGCTCCTTGAAGTAGATCTCGCTCCTGATCTAGGTATTTTGGGTCTTCCCCTACTAGACGCATTCGATCTGGGGCGAACAAAATTGCAGCTCCCCATCCCTCTCGTCCTGCTTTATTAGCTCAGTGTACGAAGCTGGTTGCCCAATCGTTTCCTCGTCCTCAACAACAGCTGGTATCGAGGGTTGCCAGTCGCCTGAGGTGACCGCGGGACGGCAGAAACATTCTTTCAGTGGTGAGACATTTTAGTCATAATCCTCGTTTCTCTGCTTCTTGAGGTGCGGTGCAGGGGTCTGTCCTGTGGGTTCCCTCCCATGCTTCGCCAGAGCCTCAGTCCTGTCCGCCTGAGGCGTCAGGATACTAGTATCTTCATCATATCCATCTGGAGACCACCTCTCGCCTTGGGCGGGGAGGTCTTCTTCCATCATCAGGGACACTTCTCAGCTCAGAGAGATTTCGTTGTTGCTATTATCAAAATCCTCCTCCATTGAGTTTATTTCATGTTCTTTATCCATGGGATCATCACTGTCCTGACCGATTTGTCCATTTAATGCAATCGGGACGGGGACGTCTCTATTCGTACCTGCCCACTCGCCTGGGACGCTGGGGTGCACGTCTGCGTTCTCATGGGCTTCCCCTTGCCGACTGGTTTCGCCAGTGGCAGGCACGATTGTATGTGTAGCATTCGGAATCGGGCTGATTGACTCCGTCGACTTGGCACTCCAAGACGAGAGCGCGCTTTGTCTAGGTCTCGCTGTTATGCCTTTTCGCCCGTACGGGTCTGGGGTTTGTTCCCGGTTACCAATCGGAATCCCGGAGGGAGAGACATCTACCGACATCTCCGCCACCCCTTCAGTGCTTCTGCCCCTAGATACCCGAGTGGCGATATAAGAAGGAGGGATACGGCCCTGACTAGGGCCGCTCTCAATAGCATTATGTCCGTCGTGTTGTACAACATGCCTGTCGGCGCTTCGCGAAACGACGGGCTCGTCATCTGTCTTATCACAGCTCATTCCCGCAGCGACTAAGTCGTGGGGCTCATCCGAAGTTCCTTCTCCTGGATGAGATAACCCCGCGTCGACTAAGTCGCGCGTTTCGGCTGGTAACCCATCTTTCCTCTGAGAGTCGGGATAAGATGCCAAAGGGATTGAGATCTCATATTCACTCTGCTCAGGGAGAGAGGGGACGGGATGAGACATCGATAAGGCAAGTATCCGTTAAGCAATATTACTCTATCAGGAATGTGTAGGGAGGAGGCCGGCTGGCCTACGACCGACGACGCGCGACGGCCGAGGGCTGGCGCGCTCCTTTTCTCTCCTGCAAGCCAAGGCAAGCTTGCTTGAGCAATCAATACAGCTGCAGGATGCAGCATTAGTTCAGGCAGACAGTGCGTAGCACGCAAGTTAACTTAAGTTCTAATTGAATATGAGGCGGAGAGGAGCATATTTACTTCTTGGGGCCTCCTCGTGCCCCCCGTTGTCTCCTGGAGTTCCCTGACGCCCCACGGAGCCTCCTGGGGAGGATTCGCGCGCCGGGAGAAGCCCAATCTATAGGAACATGCGTACATGACCTAGGCCTGGAGCCACACGAGAGGGGCAATTTATAGTAACATAGTAGTGCGCCAAGGATTCGTACCCTAGGAGGGGCCGAATCTATAAGAACATACGGACAACACTTAGGGTTGAAGCCTCAGGGGGGGGGGGGCAACATACGTCAAACAGTAAGGATTCGGCCTGAACGCAGACGAGTCTGACCACTAAAGCAAGCAAGCCACTCGAGACATCCTCGCAATCTGGGCCCCCTCCGGGGTGTCAAAACCGGCGCCTCGCCTGACACGTCATCAAACCTGCTCCGAAAGTAAAGGATGTTCGACTGGCAAACAAGCAGATGGGCAGAGACATCCCCGCAATCTGGGCGCGAAGGAGGGGATGAGATCCTGGCGGTCACCCCTTAGGGGTGCCGAAACCACCAGCGCCTCGCCCGAGACATCCTCAGAATCTGCTCTGAACGCAAGCGAGTCTAGCCATCAAAACAGGCAAACCGCTCGAGACATCCTCGCAACCTGGGCCCCTGGGGTGCGAAAACCAGCGCCTCGCCCGAGAGGTCCGACACATCCGCTCCGAAAAAACAGAGGATGCTGCGGCAGCAAACGGGGAAGCCGCTCGAGACAACAGCGCAGTGTGGCCGCAAGCGGAGGGGGGAGATACCCCCCTGGCGGCTCCCCCGTGGGAGCGCTGAAACCAGCGCCTCGCCCGAAGACATGTTCAGAATCTGCTCCGAAAGCGAACGAGTCTGGCAACCAAGACAGGCAAACCGCTCGAGGCATCATCGCAAACTGGGCCCCCCCGGGGTGCGGAAGCCAGCGCCTCGCCCGAGAGGTCCTCCAAATCAGCCCCGAAAAGGGAAGATGCTGCGGCAGCAAAGAAGCAAACCACTCGAAAAATCCAAGCAATCGGGGCGCGAACGGAAGAGTGAGGTACCCCCTGGCCCACCCCCTTTGGGGGTGCTGAAACCAGCGCGTCGTCCGAGACATCCTCAAAATCTGCTCCGCTATCCTCGTCCTCATCTTCATCATCATCATCATCATCATCATCATCATCATCATCATCAGCATCAGCATCAGCATCAGCATCAGCATAATCATCATCACCACCATCACCAGCACCATCAGCATCATCATCAGCAGCAGCAGCGTCAGCATCATCATCACCACCACCATCATCATCATGATCGCCATCAGCATTATCAGCATCATCAGCATCATCACCACCTTCATTAACACCAGCAACATCACCATGATGATGATAATCGTCATCATCGTCATCATCATCATCATCACCTTCATTAGCATCAACATTGTCATTACCATCGTTGTTGTCGTCATCATTAGCATCAAACCACCCTGATCATCATCATCATCATCATCATCATCATCATCATCATCATCATCGTCATCATCATCATCATCATCATCATCGACAGCATCATCAACACCCTCATCATCATCATCACAATCGACATCATCATCGACATCATCATCATCATCATCATCATCATCATCATCATCATCATATTCATCATATTCATCATCATCATCATCAGCATCAGCATCAGCATAATCATCACCATCACCAGCACCAGCACCAGCACCATAATCATCATCATCATCATCATCATCATCATCATCATCATCATCATCATCATATTCATCATATTCATCATCATCATCATCATCATCATCATCGTCATCGTCATCATCATCAACAACATCCTCATCACCTTCATCATCATCAGCATCATCAATATCAACATCACCATCATTGTTGTCGTCATCACCAACATCAAACCACCGTGATCATCATCATCAGCGACAGCATCATCAACACCACCATCAGCCTCAACATCATCATCAGCATCATCATCAGCTTCATCATCAGTTTCATCATCGTCATCACAGCCTAGCCTAAGTCGTGACCCTGAGTGTGACTCTGGGTGAGCAGGAGGAGGAGGAGGAGGAGGACCAGGAGCAGGACCAGGAGGAGGAGGAGGACCAGAAGGAGGAGGAGGAGGAGGAGGAGGAGGAGGAGGAGGAGGACCAGGAGGAGGACGAGGAGGAGGGGGGGGAAGAGGAGGAGGACTAGGAGCAGGAGGAGGAGGAGGAGGGAGGTGAGTGAGCGAGGAGTCAGCGCGGTCAGAGTAATAACAAGCAAGAGCCCCATCCTGAGGATATGGGGAACAACAGGAAACTCACCCGTAGGAGATGGGAGAAACAAGCGAAAATCACGGTGATAATTCGAGCCCCGATTTGCTAACGTGCGCGAAACTGATAGCGCCTGATGCCATACCGGGCGCTGCTGCCAGCGAGAACTGCCAACCCGCTCATCGGGCAGCGGCCCCAGCACAAGAAATTGTCTCCGCTCCTTCTCGTCCGCCTCCTCCTCCTCCTCCTCCTCTCCCCGTCTGCCTCTCATTTTCTCACTCTCCTCCTCCTCCTCCTCCTCCTCCTCCTCCTCCTCCTCCTCCTCCTCTCCTCCTCCTCCTCCTCATCCCCACCATCCTCCCCCTCATCCTTCTCCTACTATGATTCCTTTTTCTGATCTCTCCGACATCCCTACCACTTGTTTCCTCTTCCTTCCCGCTTTCCTTTTCTTGAGTCCTCTCACTCTTTCTCCTCAGCTCCCCTCTCTCCTTCCCTTCTCCTCTTTGGCTACTGCCGTGCGGACGTCGGCGCCTGACGAGACTGCAGTCCCACCAGACGCAATCCAGGTCCTCCTCGGACTCGGTGGAGCCCGCGCGGGCCACGACGCCCTTCTCGGCCAGCTCCTGGCCCAGCACGGCGCGGCACTGGGACCCAACCGGCACGCAACGTCCGACCCCTCCCTCATTGTTTTCCCCTCCTCTATTGCTCCTTCTCCTTCCTCCTCGTCCGTCCATCGTTTTCCTTCCGGCCATTCCTCCTTGTCCTTCCATCGTTTTCCTTCCTCCTCGTCCTTCCTTCTCCTTCTTCCTCGTCCTTCATCCTCGTCCTTCCATTGTTTTCCCCTCTTCTGTTGCTCCTTCTCCTTCCGGCCCGCCTTCCTTCCCGCCGCCGCCGGGTGATCCCCCCTTCCCTCCCGACACGTCCCTTCGCCCTGCGGGGCGCGCAGGCGTGGCCCCGCGGCCGCCTGCGCGCGGGCGCAGGCGGCAGCCCGAGAATTCTGGGGAAAAGCACTAAATCGTCCCCAGACTAGTTATTTTTTAAAATATTTTGAGTATTCCTCCTGTAGAGGGACACGCCCGACTTAAGCTTACAGTCGACCCGCATAGTAAGGATGCGCGATAAGGATGCAAGGGCCTTGGACGCCCATTTCGAAGTTTTTCGACGGGGCCGCGGCCGACGAAGGTGGCGAAGGATGGGCCGAGGAGGCAAGGATGCAAGGGCAGCCTTGGGAAGGTTGCCCATCTTTAATATGCGGGTTGATTGTGCCGAGGGGGAACGATAGGGGGGTCCAGTTCAAAAGGTGAGGCAGCGACCTCTCCTCATTCTTGCTCCTTCCTCCTTCCCCATCGACATTCTCTCCTGCGTTGTTCCTCCTCCTCCTCCCTCTCTCCCTCCTCATCTCACTGCTGCTGCCCTGGTGCGTCCCGAACAGGAGCCCGGGATCTAGGCGCACGCGTGGAGCTGCGCGAACGCTGCATTCCTGGATGTTTCACGGGCTGCCCAGGCCCCATGCTGTAGCAGCAGTTGCGCCTGAGGTGCCCCCATAGCTGTTCACTTCAACCAGATACCTGTTGAAAACGGTCGACAAACACTTTTTTGGTCTGCGGGGCGAGAGCGAACCTCTTCCGGTAAAAGCTAGGCGGGCTACGCACAGCTCTCCTTGGGGAGACAGGGCACAGACGGGCGGGGCCTCAGGCGGCTGGAAGGCGGGCCGGGGTGCAGGCGGTGCCGAGGAAATTGCACAGGAAAAGGAACGCCTTGGACAGGAGCCGGAGGCGAAGATTCGGAGGGTGAGCGGTGTGGTGTTGCCGTCAACGGCGTTTCGTAAACACCATCCTCAAGTGCTTCTAAAGAAGACGTTGTAACGGTCGACACACACACACGCACACACGTATATTCACCGAAGATGTATGACTATCCACATACATAGATGGGGGAATCGATAAACATCGATCGAGATCAAGTGATTGACACACCACGAAGTGTGAGAGGCTTTTCCGCTTGCGTCGTCCTCGTCGTCGTTGTCGTTTCACCGTCACCGCCCCGCCGTGCCCACGTCGGCGGGCCCCCCACGTCAAACGTCTCAGCCCAAGAAAAATCGTCGAGCGACGTCGCAGTTGAGTCGAAACGAAACCCTTCCCTTTGATCCTTCCCCCGCCGGGGAGGGGGGAGCCCCAGGGGTGTTAGGGAGGCCCCGGGGGGGGGGGGGGCTGGGGGGATGGCCCCAAAGGTTCTGACCCCCCTTCCGTGGGGGAGCACCCTTCCCGGGGAGAACATTCCCCCTTCCGACCTCATGACTCCCGCGCGCCTCAGGCCCCCCCATCAGGGTCGGCAGCGCTGGCCGCAAGGCCTTCGCAATGCATCGAAATCGATTGATAGACCATGCGACATCGATCGATTGATCGATTGATAGACATGTTGGGTTCCGCATCCAGGCCTTGCTGTCGATTGTCAGGCAGCCCTGCCCCAGAGCGTGGGCGCCAATTTGCTCGCGTAGCTCAGGCACAGGAAGCTCACGCAACTGGGCAAGAACAGTCTTCTTGACGCTGAGCCCAGACCTGAAATCTGAGCGCACTCGGAGACGAGGCCCGCCAAAGACAATGTGTGCCCCATGAGCCTGGGGAATACCATGGCCAGATCATCCGCATCTGCGCATGCTCAAATGCGCGCCTGGGGGCGTAGCCGGCCCGGCCGTCTGAGCGAGAGATCGGACGCAAGGGCGAAGAGTAGAGGAGACGAAGGGCAGCCTCGTCGAATACATCTGGACATGACGAACTCCGCGTGCCGCGAGCCGCCGATGGCGACATGGCACCAATTGTTCTGATAGAGAACGCGGGCGAAGCGATAGGGGCCAGTCCGGCCAGCCCAAAGAAGCGAATCACGCGCGCAACATGTCCTGCTCCGCGGAAGGGAGCGCGGCCGCGAAATCGAAGAAGAAGGCCGACGCGGAGTCATCCTCCAGGAGAGCCTCGGCCATGGCTTCGTCAATGCCTACAAGATTAGCCGGCGCAGACGGCCCAGTCATGGCCCGCGCTGAGACGGGGAGATGCGAGAAGCGACGCGAGGCTCTCATTATGAGTAGGCGGGCGGCGCGAGCCAAAAAGCGGTTGTCCGCGTTCGTGACGTTCAGCGGCCGGACGGACTCCGCAGTGAAGTAAGTCGCCCCATCTTCGGCGGCACCGGCTATTTTCTTGGGGAGAACTTGAAGAAGACGGCACTTGAAATCGTCAAATGACTCGGCCATGCGGCCCAAACCGCCGTCGGCAGACATATCCAATAATGCGACGTGCAAGACGGGCGCTGCAAAGACCTCCAAGCACCGCCAGGCAGAAAACGGAATGCCGCTAGGGCCTGGAGACGAGCTGCTGGTCAAGCGTAGCGCGCGCCTGATGCGCCGTCGGCGCACTTTGAAATCCCCCCCAGGATCGCCCTGGATCCATGTGTTAAGGAGGTCCGCGTCGCTGCCTCGAGCTTTGAAGACGCGGCCTCAATGCTCCCCGAGCTCCGCTGCCATGCGACCGCTGTCAGTGAGGATCCCCCCCGCGGCGTTCATGGTGGCGCTCGCGGATCCGAAGCGCGCTGGAGCCTATTTGATTATTATTATTGTGTATTTTTTCTTCCTCTGAGATGCGCGCATAGGATCGTCGTCGCCGCCGTTCGCGCGAGACTTGCCTAGCTCGTCCAGCGCGTGATCGCGGGCGAGGTCCATGGCGTGATCCCTGACCCGCTGGAGTTCGACGGGGAGGTTCCCGCGCGCGTCGCAAGGATTGCCGGCGATCTCCTCGAGGTAGGGGCACCGGACAATGCAGGACGACACCTCGCCCAGCAGGCCCTGTTCGGAGGCCCGCAAAAACCTCGTCGCAACGCCGAGCTGGCCCTCGAAGTCGACCGCCTCCGAGGGGGGAGGTAGAAATCGCGCCCGCGTGGGCAGCGACCTCCTTCGTGGCGCCTTCGGGAAAAGCAAGTGCTCAACCTTCGTGGAGTTTGGGTTGTCGCGCAGGTTGCCGCGGTTGTTCAGCGAGACTTGTTGGGGAAAGTCCGAATGTCGTGCGACGTGCTCCAGGATGGGCCCCTTGCACTCGCGGGGCCTCCGCGGGGCCTGGCGGGAGAAGCGCGCAGCGCGAAGGGCTGGGCGCGCCGGGCCCCGTTCCAGAGCCGCTGCCATCGCGTGCCTGTCGAGCTGCTCCGAGGCACGGCGGCTGCAATGCATTCGATCAAGCCGGGGGCGCGCCGAAGCCGAAGCGCGCGTGAAGTCCGGCTGGCACATATCATGCAAGTCAAAGCGGCGGCCGAGCACGTTTTGGAAATGACGCTCTTCAGGGGCGCCCCGTCTCCCAGAAGCCTGCGACATACTCGGCGAGCGTCGGTCCGAGTCCTGCGCAACCCAGTCGAAGTCCCCGGCAAGAAGGGCAAGCGCTGCCTCCTGGCGCGCGAAGGCGCGTGCAATCCTGAGGCGAAGGCGTACCTGGAGTGCCGGGGACGTCGTGCATCTGTGGGCGTGGTCAGCGTGAACCCCATATAATAGATCATGATCCTTAGCGCCCACAACGTCTAAACTGCCACTGGGCCCCACCAGGGTAAGCTTGGCAGCCCGACCAGGCCAGATGACGGTCCAGGAGGGGCCGCGTCGAACTCCTTCAGGAAGGCGTCGCGCACCACGATGCCCACTCCAGCGCGTGCTGGAGCTGGGCCCGCTGACCACCAGGCAGAGCATCCATGAGGAGGCCGCCATGCACGGTTGCCACCGTTGGCCCCGGGCGTCTCCGTGACCATGACGATGGGGGCACGCTGGAGCATCGCGCGCAGATACTTCATTTTCAACTTTCGCTGGGCCAGGCACGTCGCAAAAAGCGCCTGGGCATTCCATATAAATTATCCCAGTGCGACCCTACCTAGGAGTTGGAGCATTTAGGAAAGCAACATCTACATCTACATCTACACCGACAGCTACATTTACATCTACACCTGCATCTACATGCCGTCTACTCTGCGCTATGCTATGCTATGATATGATTTGCTATGCTTTGCTATGCTGCGCTATGCTATGCTATGCTATACTATGCAAGGTTACGTTCGACTGCGCTTTGTTATGCTAGGCTATGCTATGCTATGCTACGCTACGCTATGCTATGCCATGCTATGTTATACTGCGCTATGATATGCTATGCTATGCTGCGCTATGCTATGCTATGCTAGGCTATGATATGATATGTCATGCTGCGCTATGTTATGCTATGCTATGCTATGCTGCGCTATACTATGCTATGCTATGCGCTGCTATGCTGTGTTATGCAATGCTATGCTGCGCTGTGCTATGCTTGGCTATGCTATGCTATGGTATGCTGTGCTAATGCTGCGCTGCGCTATGCTGCGCTGCGCTCAGCTAAGCTAAGGTAAGCTAAGCTATAATAAGCTAAGCTAAGCTAAGCTAGGCTAAGCTAAGCTAAGCCAACCTAAACTAAGCTAAGCTAAGCTAATATGATATCAGCTAAGCTAAGCTAAGCTAAAGCTGAGCTAAGCTAAGCTAAGCTAAGATGATATAAGCTAAGCTAAGCTAAACTAAACTAAGCTAAGCTGGGTGAACCCAGGGACGTAACTGGGGGAACCGCGGGGCGGATCCTAG